ACAAAAGCACTTTGGCACGGAGAAATAATCAGATTCAACACTTTCTTTAACCTCCCCGCCAAGAGTTTATCAAGGACTTTGTACATGGATCCCACCAAGAAAATCGTCCTATAATCATCCAACAACACCGAGTTTGGAGATTTAGGAATCAAAGTCAAAAAAGAAGAGGTAGTCGACTTTGAAATTTCACCTCCAGAATGAAAGAAATTGAAAAACCGGATGAAATCCTCTTTAATGAAAAACCGACACTTTTTTATAAACATAAAAGAATATCCATCCGATCTCGGACTTTTAGAACTCCCACACTACCTAATCGCCTCTAAAATCTCTTCCTCTCGAAAAGAACTTTCAAGAGAAGAGCTATCATCCGGACTTATTCTACCAAAAGAAATCCCCTCCAACACACTTCTATCCCGGTCCAATCCTAAAAATTTATTAGAAAAATGATTTTGAACTTCCTCCTTTATCTCCCCCACCGATTCTACTAAACCACCAAAAGAAATGATAGGACCTATATGATTATGTATTCTTCTTTCTTTCATCACCTTAAGAAAATAGCCACTATTAGAATCTCCATCATTAAGCCACTTGATTCTCGATTTTTGAATAAGCATATTATCTTTTATCCTTAAGTTCAACCAAAATCTACTACTAGCTTCCTTCCTTTTTTTAACAGTATCGGGATGCAAGACTTCGTTCTCGACTTCTAACCTATCATCACCAACATTCAACTCACTCACACAATCCTCCACCTCCAAACTTATCTTTTCGAACTCTACCTTATTCCACCATTTGAGCCCATCTTTAAGGATTCTTAACCTTTCTTTAATAATAAAATCGCCTCTTCCTTCCACCTTGATCTCTTTCCATTCCCTCTCCACAAAAGGAATAAAAGACTTCAAAGAAAACCATTCATTATTTAACTTGAAAGGTTTAGGACCCCAATTAATATTATCCACCATTACCCAAACCGGACAGCGATCCGAGATATCTCGAGGGCTAATAAGTTGGCCAATAATCCCCATCTATTCACAATAGTGTCCAACAAAAGAAACTGATCGATTCTACTCATAGACTTCCCATCTCCACTATACCAAGAGAATTTTTTTCCTTTGCAAGGAATGTCCACCAACAAACTATTCTCAATAAATTTCGAAAAACAACACCGATTCCCCAACATTCTCCATTACCATCCTCCCTTTCCTTTCCCTATAATTTTTATAGCATTGAAATCACCTCCTAATATCCATTCACCGTCTCTGTACATCTCCTTCAACTCCAATAACTTCCCCACAACTCCTTCTTTTTGGAAAGAACACGCGAAGCATATACATTCACTACATAATAAAGATGATTCTTCTAAGCCACCTTAATCCCAAAACACACCCCACCTTTGAAACTGTTAATAACATCCACCACACCTACCTTCCAAAGAGTTAAAATACCTCCTGACGCCCCAACAGAATTGGAAAAAGAATAACCAACTTCAACGTTACTCAAAAAACTATTTGCACAAAATTCTTGCAAACTAGAAATTTTTGTCTCTTGAATCATAAAAATATCGGCCTCGTCCTTTTTAATTAGAGAACTAATTCTTCTTCTATTAAGAGTGTTTCCACCCCCCTCTGATATTTAAGGATCCAATAATCATTACAACCGATTTGAATTCTCCATCCTATCCAACTTCATGTTCACAACCACTTTCTCTAAGTCACCAATCTTGTTAATAACTTTTTTTCTTCCTTCCACATTTACCACTCCCAGTGTCGAAATCGCCGACCATTATTTACTACCAACATTATTGTCTAAAAACTCCCACTGTTTACCATTATTTCTACATATATCCGAATTTTCATTTTGGTTTCCATATAAAAGTGAAGGACTTTTATTGAGTCGACAATAAGGAGCAGACATGTTGAAAGGCAAAGGAACAGAAACCTTACCTGCCTTAGTAGCAAGCTTCGATTTTACAGCCTTATGCGACTTCAACTTACGAAAATTCTTCCCCTTCTTTATACATTTTGATCCTGGTCTCATAACTCTGTTGTTCTTAAAACTGTCCAAATCCACCATGTTTTTAAATTTCACCCTCTTCAAACAGTAGCTTTTTTTCATAGCTAAAGAACATTTTACCCTTGAAATATTGCTACCAGAATCTGGAAAACTTTGTGCACAAAATCCTCCCCTATCTATCGCAACTAGACGACTTTCCTTAACCTTCTAAATTGCCTAAACAAAAGAACCCTATGCACCTGCTACACCCAGAGCATCTCGAATACTCTATGCCACAGGCTCGAGTTCTTTCTCCAAAACATCAATAACCTCAATATATCTTCATCCTTTGAAGAAAACTTCATAAAACAGTCCCTACCAAAGTCTCATTCACATGATTGTTCGAAACAACATTTGCGAAAAACCTTTTGCCCCTCCAAATACCAGGACCAACACCACCCCTATTCCAATGTTGATTAACAAGACGCCCTTCCTGACCTTGATTCGGAACAAACTTCACCCCTCTGACTCTCTCGCCCACCACCTTACTCCCAACTCTCTCAAATGTTGGCATATTAATGTGAATTTTCTTCCCCTCAATCATAACATTATCCAACCTTACCGCCAACAATCTTGCTCCCTCCACTTCTATGAATCTAGCGAAACCGAACCTCTTACCTATTCTGTTCTGTCTTGGCGCGATAACAACTTTCACGGTCTTCCCTATACACCCAAACAATTCGAAGAAATCCTTGGCATTACTATAATCTGGAAACTGAGAAACATAGACCGAGGTAACTTCCGCACCTGCCACCCTCCTAGATCAACTAGATTTGCATTTAATTTTAATTGGCTTGATCCTAAAAAAGAGATTAGAATTGTCAAATATTTTGAGTTTATCTCCTAAATATGACACTTTTGAAAACTTAATTTTGAAAGTGAATTCTTAAAGCTACCTAGGTTACAGTTAAAATGTCACATCATCACTCTTAATGATATGTCAGCATCTAACAAAAACATTATTTTATTAATAATTAAAAACAATTTGATAGAAAAAAATTGTATAAATAAAATTATAGGAAGACTAAAGTTGTAAAACATAAAAAGAAAATTTTATAGAGTTTAATATTCGGTCTTACGATTGGTTAATCTAATGAAATCAATTTCATCGTTCATTTGCAAGATCTCATTTATAGTCGGAGTATAATTATGTATAAATTTGACCTAACACTAGAATTGTTTGTAGCTATTAAAATTGAATATTGATTTCATTCAAAACTAAATACTTTTTTAGATGTAGTTTTTTCAAGTTAGTTATTGGACATAACTCCTGTTTTCTGTGCTAAAGTATTTTGAGTTTTAAGTTTGTTGTGCGAGAAGTTTATATATGGATTATTAATCGAGATAATCTATTCTGATTTGGAGGCTTAATTAGTCGTATGATAGTTTATCATTGGAAAACCTTTGTCAATCATGCCGATAGTAGAAAATCTTGATCTCTCTGATTTGATGGATACCGATGAAAAATAGTGGAATTCTAATTTTATTCATACTCTTGCTGGAGAAGTAGAAACATAAAATATTCTTAAAATTCTCTTATTTGAAGTTGTTCAGATGGACAAAATAGTGTAGAAGTTTGAGAAGAATAACATTTATACAGTTTGTCATATCGTTATTGCATAGGAAAGGCTATTGATACAAATCATCTATGGGTTTGTAAAAATTGACAGCTCCTGTAAAAAAATAGAATCCCTCCCGGGATACAAAAATTTCTTTGGTGTCTTTGTGGGAACTGTGTGTCCACAAGAAAGCGGTTGATAAATAAATGTGTTTAGTATCCAATTTATTGTGGTGTATGTGGAGAATGATTAGAATATGATAAATACCTTGTTTTCTATTGTTCAAAAAATATTATGTATTGAAAGCTAGTGGAATTATGACCTATTATTTAACCGATGTCGAGAGATAATATCTCATTCACATCTATTGTTTTCTCTCTTTTGCAGGAATTAAGTCACGACCAACAAGTTTTCGTATTAGCCATTATTTAGAGTATTTGAAAGAGTAGTAATAATCATATTTGGAATCACATAGAAGATTTAGCGGAAATAATTTGTGATTGTACCTCTTATCCACTGATGGGATGGAAAAATATTCAACATCTCTCAATGAGAAGCTTTATCCAAAATGAAACTCCTATAAACAATACTTAAAAAAACTTTTGCACGTCGTATCAAATGTAATATAGACGCGTTTTTCTCAATAACTTTTAATAAAGTAGGAAATAGGTGTTTGTGTTCGAGACGAAATTAGATAATTTGTGGTTGTTTGAATGGAATGAGTGCCACCTACTAACGAGGTTGATACATGGGAGACTTTAGGCCTTTTAGCAGTCATCAAATAGGTGCATGAACTCGACTTAGATGTAGTGGATTTTGAGATAGATTTAAAAAACATAACAGATAATGTGAATAGCCAACAACTAAATTTATAAGAGTTTGGCAAGATTATCAAAGAATGTAAACAATTACTATCTCATGTTAAGTTTGTCAAAAGACAAACTAATGAAATTGTTCATGATTTGACAAGGATGACTCAATCGCTTACTAATTCTCAATTTTTTATTGATATTTCAATATATATTCAACACTTTCTTATTAATGATATGAATTAAGTCATTTTTCCTATAAAAAAAATTGCAAATCGATTAAAATTGCTATTAAGTCTCGTATATATTTTTTATCTTTCATTTTATATTTATTATGATCTTCCAATTTATAATGTTACTATCATTTGAATTGCGATTTTAATTACTAAAATACGGATTGGTAAAAAAAATAATAATAATATGGATTAACTTTTCTATTTTGAAAAGAAAATGCCAGAAATTTACAAGTCAATTACATAAAACAAACAGTTGAATTAAATGGAAGCGTTCTAAAAAAAGAAGAAAGAAAAAACAAGAGTAACCAAAATGAGTTGACAATAGAAAAAATTAGATTCTAAAAATGATGATGTTAATGGTTGTCCTTTGTAATGAAATCCTGACCAGCTATTTATACGCCTTAACGTGTGTTGGAAATAAATAGAATCATTCATATTTCTGACTCAATTTTACTCTCCAATTTGCTTCCCTTTTTCCCTCACATTCCCTTGAGGTTCTTCCTCACAAAAACTGTCATAGGGAATGCCCGTTTCATCCATCTAATCAACAACAACGTATCATAATCATTCTTTTTTGGGTATGCATGCATGTAATAATCTTTTTCTTTTTGTTTCTAACTAATGTTTCATGTTTTGTTTCAAATTGTGTTTGTTTTTTTGTCTTGTGACAGGAAAATAAAAAAATGATTAGAAGCTTCTTTCTCTTTTCCTTGTTCCTTCATTCAACATTGGCTCAAATTCCTGCAATTCCTCTGGATCATGCAATTCCCCAAAAACCTGTAACTCCTCGTAAACATGCAACTCATCATAAACATGCAACTCCTATTCTTGTCAAGAAATGGTCAACATTAAGTGGTTGGTAATCCTAACCCTTTGTTTATCTACGACGCGACGCGTTATGTTGTCGTGTATAATTACACTGTTTAGTAACGTTTGTTTGACATGTGTTGATTTTTGTTATTGCAACGCTTGCAGGAAATGAACCTATTGTAATAGCCCGCGGTGGTTTTTCGGGACTCTATCCGGAAGGTACTCCAGACGCAATTTCAGCATCAAAAGGCATAAGCACTTTCTTGTGCAATCTTCAGCTGTCAAAAGATGGAGGTGCCTTTTGTGTAACTGGTGATACCCTTGACAATGCAACAACTGTTGCATTGTTTGATCCTAAACAGAAAGTTTACAATATCAATGGAAAGAATGTGAAAGGACACTTCTCTATAGATTATGATAGTTCTCAGATTGACTCAAATGTAACAAGTGAGTCTTATATCAATCTATATTTTCTCCTTTCTAGTTATTTCTTAGGATAATCTATATGATCGGCTTATTTGAGCATTGGAAGTTAGAACTAAAAAGTTTCTCTTTGCTGTTAACTCCAGTGATTCAGTCCATATTTTCTCGACCGAGTTATTACGATGGTCTTGATGCAGTTCTTAATGTTGATGTTCTCTTTGGTGCCGAAAAACCACCGGTGTTTTGGTTGAATGTTCAGGTTCTCTCTCTGTTGAAATTTGAAATCATGAAGCACCACGGTGCATTATTTCATTTCTTTCATTAATGTGTTGCATGCTAATTGAGCTTTTTCTTTGTTGCAGCATGCAGGATTCTACGCCCAATACGGAGTAGAAGCGGCACAAACTGTTCTAGAGGTTTTGGAAGCTTGTCCAATTGCGTTTGTTTCATCTTCAGATATTGGTTTCTTAAAGAGTATCGCCGGGAAAACACCCAGGATGACTAAAGTTATCTTTCAACTTCTTAACGCGATGGACGTCGAAGCATCAACAAAACGACCATATGGCGCTATAGTAAAGGATCTCTTGACAATCAAATCATTTGCATCAGGCATCATGGTCCCAAAAGATTTCATATGGCCTGTTAAACCAGACAAATATTTAGGACTTCCCACAACACTTGTAGCTGATGCACATAAGTTAGGACTAGAAGTATATGCTTCTGGTTTTGCTAATGATATTTTTTCCAGTTACAGTTATAACTATGATCCTACTGCTGAGTACCTTCAATTTTTAGACAGTAAAGATTGTGTTGATGGTGTTGTCACTGATTTCCCAGCTACAGCATCAAATGCCATTAGTGAGATTACGAATCTGAAATCTCCAACTTTTAGTTCATGATTTATTTTCTTCAAACCTTTTTCACAATTTCGTTGTTTTACACAGGGTGCTTCGCACAAAACAACACCGCGCATAAAAAAGGTACTCTGCTATATATTACTATTGTCTTCAATCCTATAGTTACAACATGAAAAAACAAAAAGCAAACAAGTTGATAACTTTGTGGTTGCTTTTGTAGGACCAACTTTAATCATAAGCAATAACGGAGCAAGCGGCATGTACCCAGGCGGTACTGATCTAGCCTATCAGCAAGCTATAACCGACGGCACTGACATCATAGATTGCTCAGTTCAAATGACAAAAGATGGAACTCCCTTCTGTGCAGCTTCTGCAGATCTAACATTACAAAGCACGGCTATAATGAAATTCACGGGTCGATCTTCCGTTGTCCCAGAAATTCAACCAAAAAGTGGAATCTACACCTTTGATCTTACATGGACCGAGCTTCAAACAGTAAAACGTAAATACTTTCTTAGAAATATTCAGATTTATTTTAGTAGTCACTTTACGAGTTAAACAATAAACTTACAAGGTATAAACTTCTCGTTTCAGCTCAAACGATCAACACTCAAGGCAACGACTTTCAAAGAAACCCGGCAGATAAGAACAGTGGAAAATTTGTTACCCTTCCTGAATTTTTGGAATTGGCCAAGACAAAGGCAGTTGTTGGCATTTTGATCCACATACAGAATGCTGCTTACCTTGCATCAAAGAAGGGTCTTGACATTGTAGGTGCTGTCACCACAGCTTTGAACAATGCTACCTTTGACAAGCAAACCACACAGCAAGTCTTCATTCAATCCGACGACACTTCGGTCCTATCCAAGTTTAAAGATATCCCATCTTACAAAAGGGTTTTGTACATTCAAGATAAAATAGACGATATACCAGTGCAAACAGCAGAAGAAATTAAGAAGTACGCAGACGGAGTTAATCTTCAAAAAACTTCTATTATCAAAACATCTGAGTCGTTGTTGATAGGATTAACAAATGCAATTAAAGCTTTGAAAGATTTAAACCTAACAGTATTCGCCCATACTTTCAATAACGAATACTTGTCGCTGGCATTTGATTATTGGTCAGACCCTAATCTGGAGATTTCTACTTTCGTTAAGGCTGCCAAAGTTGATGGGATCGTGACCGATTTTCCCGCTACTGCATACAGATATATGAGTGAGTAAATTCCAATATGTTTAGCCTTCTTACTCCATATAAGCAACTATAATCTACTTACTCGCTACACCAGTAACTAAGAAGCTATTTTTCAAAAGCAAAAGATGAAATCCTTATGTACCGTTTTAAAATTTTGCAGGAAGCCCGTGTAGCGATCTTCTGACACGTATCCCCGTAGAACCAAAGCCTGGTGATCTGGCAAATACTGTTCCAGAAGATCTGAAACCAGCAGCAGAACCTCCTGCACCACTACTGGTTTCAAATGTTGTTGATCCACCTCTTCCTGAAGTGATTAACCTGACAAAACCTGAACCTGCAGCTGCAACTCCTCCTCCAAAAGCTTCAGGCGCAAGGGCATTTACCATCAACTCTGGTAGCACCTTAGTTGCAGTTTTGGTGGTTGCTGTGCTTTATGCTGGTCATTGATTTCATTAAATTGGGGCATTGTTACCATCTTGGATAGTCCATTTTTCTCTGAATATGTTTTGCATTTTGTTATATACCTCAATTTGTACTATAGAATGCATATGGGCACAAGTTCACCTAACACAATTATTATTCAGAAGAAACAATTATTATAACTGAGATTTGAGATAGAGAAATTTTCATTAACACCAATTGATATCACCAAATCCATCCAAGGTTTAAGGTTGTGCAAGAATTTCTATTCTATTTTTACTAGACAGAAATCCAGAATCTGATTCAAGTGAACAAAAAAAAAAAAAACTTGATTAAGATACAATATCCAGTTTTTTTTAGATTAAATAAACCTTTTAAATTAATAATAATATTTTATTGGTACAATACAATAGACACATGTACATTAGAACAACTAAAAACCATTGTTCATAAACAATTCAACATTCATCAGCATAATCATATCTTAACAACAATATATACATTAAAAGTAGAAATCTGACTACAGTCCAATGAACATAACAAATTTAATGTTGCATATCCTTGAAAAATTGCTGGCAGCATGACAACTTGAATCTTCAACCTCAACTAGTTTCCCAAAATCACAATTTCCAAGTCGGGCACTCATGCAACTCCTCCTTCATAGTCAAATGAAACTGAAAGCACAGGTAAACAATACAAGGTAATCAATGTCATAAACAGAGTATAATAAATTCTATGTCAGAAACTAAATTTAAAAAAAAAAATAAAAAACTGTATACATACAACACAACATACATAAAATCAAACCAAGGTGATTAAAAACCCTAATTACAGTTCATAAAGAATCAAAGCATGGTGGTTTAAAAACCCTAAATGAATCAAGAAATAACAGTTAACACTAAGTTGGTTAGATGATATATGGAATGAGGGAGCGAAAATTGAATGAACAAAATCAAAACATGAATTCACATCTTTCATTCCATATAACTCTACCTAACTTCACGTTAAGATAAATTCAATTAATCAATTCAGATTACGTTAGGGTTTCATCTAATTTGAGGCTCAGTTTTGGTATGAAGATGAGATCGATTGTCGAGGAGAAGCGCCGCCATGGATGGCTGCAATTAACCGGGAAAATGCCACGCCATCGGCAAGCATACTTCGCCGATGATCGATCCATCGAGATCCACACTCCAAAACGATCGTGACCTTCTCTTGAGAATGAAAGAGAGAGAAAGAGAATCTGTGAAACAATGAAGGGCGCGTGGTATGGTTAAGAAAAAGGACATAGCGAGAGAGAGTAGTAGTAGCAAAAACGCAAGTGCGAATAGCATTACTGTGATTATTGTGATTGTGATTAAACGAGACACTTTTTTATGAGAGGAGGGAGTAATATTTTGGGGAAATCTGCGATGCATCAATGAGAAATCGATATCATTATGTAAAAGGAGTGTGGCTGCATAAACCCTAATCTACTCTCCAACCTCTCTATATTTAGATTTATACAAACTTTGTTTCTTTCCTATTTTCCAATTCTACCCTTTGCATATTTTCATCACAATAACTATCGGATGAAGTTTTGTTTACTTTTTAGAATTTTATTTATGGTTATCGCACAAGAATTAATTATGAACAAAGAATAAATTTAAGAAAAAGTTACAAAATGAACAAATGTTATTCTATTTATGACATTTATAACTAGTTTATTTATATACAAAAGAGAACGTCACATATGTCTTAATAGAATAGACTTAATAATTAAGATATCTAAAACAATTAGAAATACTAAAATATCATTTAATATCACTCCTTAATTTATAATTTTTAATTAAAACTAACTACACTAATTTCATCCCTTAAGCGAACAAATTGATCCCTCTTGATTGCCTTTGTCATGATATCTGTCAGCTCCTTTTGAGTGTTACAGTGCACAACTTTTAATATTCCGTTTTTGACTTGACCTTTGAGAAAATGATACTTTGTCTCAATATACTTACTTCTCCTATGTAGTATTGGGTTTTTGGCAAGATTGATTGTAGACTTGTTATCAATCATCAGCTTCAGAGGCTTATCTACGTTGATCTTCAGATCCTGCAATAAATTTAAAAACCACACAGCTTAACATGCAACTATAGCACCTGCAATATACTCAGCTTCACACGTTGATAGAGTAACAACATATTGTTTCTTGGAATACCAATAAATATGACCTCCCATAAACTTAAACAAGTATCCATAAGTACTTCTTTTATCGACTCTATCTCCACACCAATCAGAATCAGAATAGCTCATCAACTTTGAATCTATTTTTCTTCCAGAAGGAAATAGTACTCCAAACTTTATAGTTCCCTTGATATACCTCAGAATCCTGACAGCAGCTTGGTAATAGGACCACTTAGGTTTACTCATGAACCTACTAACCAATCCAACTGCATAACAAATGTCAGGTCTGATATTACACAGATACTTTGGAGAACCTATCAACTGTTTGAATGTTGTAACATCTACGTCTTCACCCTCAGAGTCAGAATCCAATTTATGATTGGTTTTTCACGGTGTAACAGCGGCCATGCCATTCTCCAGCTTGAATTTTTTTAGAAGCTCAAATTCAAGCTCGCCTTGTTCAGAGTTATACTCACCTCCAACATCACATAAGCATGAACTTGAGCAATTTATGTTTATTTTGGTATAACTCTGAACAATTTATACTCACCTCCACCAGATTTCCTAGGTCAGTCATCTCAAACTCATTCATCAGAGTCTTCTTGAACTTGACAACTTCTTCCGAACAACTTCCCGTCAGCAATATGTCATCAACATAAAGACATATCAGAATCATATTGCTTTCAGAATGCTGAACATACACGCCATTCTCCATCTCACACTTCTGAAAACCTTGTTTCTTGAAAAATGAACCAATCTTCAAATTCCAAGCTCTGGGTGCTTGCTTCAATCCATACAGAGCTTTATGTAATTTGTACACCATCCCTTCCTAATTATTTTTCACAAATCCAGGAGGTTGTGACACGTATATCTTTTCTTGCAATGGACCGTTTAGAAATGCATACTTCACATCCAGATGCATCATAGGCCAATTTCTATTTGCAGCTAAAGTAATCACTAGTCTGATTGTTTCATGTCTAGCTACAGACACAAATACCTCAAAGTAATCTAGCCCAAGTTTCTGAAGAAAACCTTTAGCCACTAGCCTTGCTTTGTGCTTTCCAATTGATCCATCTGGCTTAAGCTTCACCTTGAAAACCCATCTGATGCCGATGGCTTTCTTCTTATCTGGAAGCTTAGTCAACTTCCAAGTCTTATTTCTTTCTATAGCCTCAAGTTCTTCTTTCATGACATTCAACCATACTTTCTTCTTGAGAGCTTTTTCAATAATTACAGGTTCATAGTCTACTAACATGGCATGTTGGACAATTTCTCCTTCTGAATCTACTTCAATATCTTGCAGCATGTCAAACTCTGCAAACCTTCTTGGTATTTGTCTGATTCTTTGTGGCCTCTGAACTTGTTCAGAAACTCTTTCCAATTCTGGAACAATATCAGATACTTGACCACCATCAGAAGTTCTACCTTCTGAATTTCCTTCAAAACCTTTACCTTCTGAAGTTTCACCTTCAGAATCATAACCTTCACTAGAAACATAATCACCTTCAGAAGCTTGTCCTCCGGAACCTACGTCTTCAGAGTTTTCCCTTCGAGAAGCATGACCACCACCAGATTATATATCATCATCAAAATCTGGATCAGAATCAGACTTACCATCTGACTCATCTTTAGAGTTTCCAAAATCATCATTTGGCTCTGTTTACCGTGGTTTTTGGTAAACAACCGTTGATCATCCAAGAAGGAAAGCCCTTTTGGTTACTCGCGGGATCGATCAGATTGATCCCGGAACATATGCTAATTTTTGTGCTGGTTTGATGTAAAAGTTAATATCTAGGAAGAACACACGTTCGACCGGGGAGTTGGTGTTTGTGGTTTTGGAAAGCAAATAGAAATGTAGATAAAACGCAGGAAACGTAAACTTTGCAAAAGAAGATCAAAGCAATGTAAAATATTTGATTAATAAAAGGTGGTGTTTCCAACTTACATTCTCAGTTATTCTTTCACACATTGTGGGTACTTGAATAATATTGAGTGACTAGTACAATAGATTAAACACACGGAAAATCTACACAAACTTCCTATATTTATACTAAAATTATGTAACTGTCGAGGGGTTGCCTTACTCTAGGATGAAGACAAGTGTCATCTGCATGCCCCTCGACCTCTATCTTCCTGCCACGTCGCTTTCCCTTAACTGCTAGGCGAACTACATTTCCATCCCTTCTTCAAATTCAAATATCCTTCGTCTTTAATGCTGACACGAGGGTTGTTTTTCTAGTCGAAGGTCACTGGAACTTTTCAGTCGAAGGCTTGATGGCGATGTCTGGTTGAATACCAATTTGTAACTCAGATATTTCTCTAAGTTTTTCCATCCGTCGAAGCATTTTCCAGCTTGGCTTCATTTGCTATATTTTTGGCCCATAAGGCCAATTTATCGTGGGTGTCGAATTTAAGAGCCAACAAATTGCCCCCCAAGAATGTCTATTTCGACGTCGAGAGAAATAGTCATTCTTTGATATTCCTATTCGACACCTGTCTCTTTTTTATCCACAAAGTCTTAACGTGTACTTTTCGCCTTCCAACAACTGCCACACTTAGAATCATCATTACTCTTTTCCCGAGACGTCGTTTCAATCAGCCGTTACCATGCTTCCATGATGGCCATTACTCCTAGAACCTAGGCAAGCATGTCAAACGTTCTCCATCACCTGCACATTAACTGCTTCACTGCTTGCCACGTGCCCCACTACGTTTATAGCATTAAATGACCTTGGCGAGAAACACTTCTCCCTGAGCACTATAAATAGCCTTGAGCTCTCTCTTTTCGAAGTTTCACAACACTTAGCATTCTTCATCTCTTCTACAGAAAAATACCTTATACCTTAGTGACTTTATCATCTTCGTTTCTCAACAACTCATAACAATGGCCTTCCTCTCCAATGCTCCAAACAACCCTGAGCCCAAGAATGTTTCTGACGTACAACGTCAATCGGAGATTTTTCCCACAAGTTTTCCTCCTGCTTCGATTGAGGAGCTAAGGTTCTTCTCCGAATCTATGACCAAAGAAAGGAACGAAGTGTACAACTCCCAGATCCTCATCCCCATCGGGTATTCTGGGGATATATATGCCATGTCTGGCCCTTTGTCTGCATGCATCAAAAATCCCACAAAAAGTAGTGCTTTCTTCCCGACTCACCCTAGGCTTAAGCCTATAGGCTGTGCAAAGAAACCCAGGAATGATCCTGAGGATGCAACCCCATCCAATCAACAACATGCTCAGATGAAGGAAGATATTAATCTTCAGTTCATGAATAAAGGGAGTAGGATCTTTCGATCGTGCCCTAGCCTTTCTTCAGAATATTTAGACTGGATGAACAAAATGGAGAAGGTACAAACCCCAATCTGGAAAGAAATGGGAATCTATGACCTGGTGATGCTGTCGAAGACATGGTTATCTTACTCCCCTCTCATGTTAGTGTCTTCATTATACTTCTGGGACAACACCCATTTCACGTTTAATCTTCCTTGTGGAATGGTGACCCCGACCCTTTTTGATATAGCAGCAATTACCGGTCTTCAACCAACTGGTGATTACTTCGACCAAGAAGATTTATCTGAGGATGCCATTGGGTTTTCAGCCACGAAGCCCACATATACCACATTTATCAATCATTTTCATGATAAATCTTGCAGCACTTTGTCGGAGGTGGAACATATAGCCTTCTTAGCTATGTGGTTATCTCGCTTCGTCTTCTGTACTAAGTCACTTTAAGTGACTAAGAAGATGCTTACACTTGCAACACAACTTCACCATGGTTACCCTCTCTGTTTGGCTGAATTGATCTTGACCAACCTGTATGAGTCCATCAACAATGGTGTGACTCAATTCAAAGTCATTGGAGACAGGGCAAGATTGATCCTCTCTGGCCCCTTTTGGCTTCTTCAACTCTGGATCAACGCCACTTTCGAATCTTTTCTTCCTCAAAAGAATAAGAAAATGAAGAGGCCCCAGAAATTCTGAATAAGAGGGTCGAAGGTACCAGGTTAGTCTTGTTGACTCCGACTGATGAGGGTCAGAAATTTCAAAAAGCATTCACCAACTTTGTGATGATGTTTGCAGAGTGTTAAAATTTTGTTTCGACCATGGCTCTCTTCGCCAGTCGAAAAGTTGGTCCATAATGGTTCACTCAACCATTTCCTTCGGCTGATGAGGAGGACCTAGAAGATGAATATGTGGCTATTTGGGAGTCGTTTCTTCGACCCAGAATCATGCTGCTGAGATTCAAGAGTTCGAAGAATAAACTGAGTTTGATTTCTTACCAACCGAATCTTGTCTCTCGATAGTTCGGT